TTCAGTCACTGTATCCCAGTTTGTATTGTAGTTTATAAAATGGATAAAGCCAATAACTTTTTTTTTTTTGGTGGAGGAAAAACTAGAGTTGAGGATGGAGAAGGGGGTGGGTATTAGGTAATGGGAAGGCATGGGTAGATTTTTGCCATGGGCAAGGAATCATCCCAGATTAAAATGATACCTAGAATATAATGCTCAGTATCACTTTCATAATGGAATTAGCACTCAGTTTAGAGTTAGGGAATGTAGAAACAAATCCCAGCTCTGCTACTTATTACCTGTGTGATGTGAGGTTAGTAATTTCATTTCTCTGGGTCTTAGTTTCCTCATCTGTAAAATGAAAGCATTAGATAAGATGACTTCTATAGTTACTACCAGCTCTAAATCCTATGATCTAATGTTGGTTATCTCAGAAATTCAGAAAAGAGAGATTTTTCAAATGTCTACACGTCAGGATTTGGAGGGGCCGTAGGGAAAGGGATGTCATTCTTGCCTACTATTTGAAAAGGAGACAGAGAGGTGAGAGGGAGAATGACAGGGGGACAGAGAGTGAGTTCCATGTGCTGTACCATTTGGGTTGATAATAGTGCATTTCCGGGCTGTCATGGTTTTTAATGCTAATTGTAGCATCTGAGGATGTCAGCAGAGCCCCCTTAAATGAATAACCTAAGTGCTTAAAAGCACCAATGATCACTGTGCCCCATTTTAGAAATAACAAAGGCAACCAAAGTCATTTGTGGAAGTGCTTTCTACAGCAGAACACTGCTGGGCAACCAGCTCTCAGTACTCTGGGCTTCATCCCTCCCTCCCACCCCTGCCTCCTTCTTGTTGCTAGGAGACAGAAGGACTCTACTTCTACTATTTCCATACTTGCTGGGAGATTGAGTAATTGGTCTATGTATGTGCGTTTGTGCTGATTCCCAAAATATCTCTAAAAAGACATGAGAGGGGTGTGGAACAAGTAGGTAGGGTGATTGAGGGATGCTTGCATGCTGAACAGCCATAAGGGTGATAGAATCAAGGATGAAAACTGAGGGTGAGAAAGAGAAAGGGAACTGAGAAGAATAGGGAGAGTGGGTGTCAGAAGAAGGCTTGAGGTCTCTCCCCTCTCCAACCCATCCTCTTCAGAACTACCTAAAACATAGAACTGACCACCTTGTTCTCCTGCTTAACATCTTCAGAGGCTCTCTATTTTCCTAGAATAAAATGCAAAATCCTCTGCCTGGTATTCAAAGCCTTCCACAATATGGCTCCCACATACCTGTCTAGTCACGTTATATTCCTCCCCTTCACAGATTCTCTAATCCAGTCGAACTGTTCATGTTTTCCCTACATAACATTCTCTCACCTCTGCTTCTTTGCACAGGGGGAACTCCTATATATGGAAGGCCCTCCTTCCTCACCTCTGTTTGAGCATTTCCTTTAAAACATAGTTGAAGAATTCCCTAATTGTTAGTAGTTCTCTCTCTCTCTCTCTCTCTCTCTCTCTCTCTCTCTCTCTCTCTCTCTCTCTCTCTCTCTCACACACACACACACACACACACACACACACACACACACACTCTGTTTCCATTCTTATCCTCTTTCTTTTCTCTCTCACTCTCTTATCCTTTTTCTCTCTCTTTCCTTTGTGTCTCTCTCACTGTTTTCTCTCATCCTCTCTTCTCTTCTCTGTCCTTTCTTTTTCCTGTCTTTGTCTCTGTCTCCTCTCTCTTCTCTGTCTCTTCTCTTTCCTTTGGTTCATTCTTACTGTCACTGTTTCTTCTCTTATGCCCTCTCCTTTTGTATCTCTCTTCTCTCTCCTCTCTCTCTCTCTCTCTCTCTCTCTCTCTCTCTCTCTCAATTACCTTATATATTTTACATTTGCCCATTCATGTATATGGTGTGTTGCCACAATAGATTGTAAGTAGGTTAGAGGCTATCTTGTTTCTGTAGTCCTGATGCCTAACAGAATGTCTCACATTTACTAGGCATTTTTAATAGAAATGTATTGAATGGAATAGGATGGAAGGGGAGGTTGGTAGCTTTTCCATGTGTTTTCATCTTCAATATTTTTGTTATCAGGTGCTGATAAAGTTAAAAGAAAGGAATACTCTTGATGGAGTTGAGAGAGAAGCTAATATGTTGGAATAGAAATATGATTTGATTTTGATGACTAATATTTCAAGGCCAGAGATAGCTTAGCTTCGGTTTTGAGCTCTTGAACTTAGCCAAGCGCCTTGAAAAATTCGTGATTGAAAGTATATCCTGTTTCTCTATCTGAAGAATGAGCTCTAGACAATGAGTTAGGATATTTTCAATGATATATTCCACTGGTTGTTTGGGGATCAGGGAAAGAGGTTATCAGATCACAGATTTAGAGCTGGAAGAAGCTTTAGAGATTATCTAATCCAACCTCCTCATTTTACATGTGAGGAAATTGAGGCCCAGAGAGTATTCGAGGCCACATTGTAAGGGTATCTTAATGTCCACTCCAGGTCTTTCTCCCTGTACTATGCTGCTTCCAGCATGGGAAGCAAATCCTCAGGACAGATCACTACAAGTACCCAAATTTGCACAGTGAAAATAGCAAAGGAATGATTACTGGGTCTTGGTATTTTAGGTAGATAAGAATTGAGATAGTATCTTTCAGAGGAGGCATAATGGAGACAATAGAATGACAAGGAGTCAGGTAACTTGGGTTCTACCCCTGGCAATAACTTGACTATTCAGGGATCATTTTTCACATCTATAAAATGGGGATAGTTGGGGCAGCTAGGTGGTGCAGTGAGTAGAGCTCTGGCCTTGGAGTCAGGAGGACCTGAGTTCAAATCCAACCTCAGACACTTAACAGTTAACTAGCTGTGTGACCCTGAGCAAGTCACTTAACCCCAAATGCCTCACCAAAAAGCAAAAAAGAAAAAAAGGGAATAATTATACTTTCCCCTGCCCCAAGAATTGTGAAGACCAAGTGATACTCATGTAAAAAAATATATTTTGGAAAATAATTACTATATTTTCCCTAAGATGCTTGAGAAATTCCTACATGGTATGCAATTGTAGGTTTAGAGCTCGACGTTAACTAGACCCACTGAGACATTAACTAGAACCACTCCTTATTTTACAGATGAGAAGCCTCAAACCCAAAGAGGAAAGTGATCGGGACCACAGAAGTGGCACATTCCAGGAGCAGCAGTCAAACCATAAGTGCTATGGTTTATGAACCTTCCCCTCTCTGCTGGCCGCCCCCATAGACACAGAAGGAGCTGCCTCCAGTCTCCTACTCTACTGTAGATGACAAAATTGTCTTCTTGACAACCAAGTCCCTTTCCTCCTTATTAGATATTCTCTAGGTTGAACCTTTGAATAGTGTGAAAAAATTTCCCAAATCACTCCCACGAGTGTCTGTCTGATTTTGTACTTGAACAATCCCAGTGACACAAAGCTCAGACATTTTACTTCCTGTGTTAATGAACACTGATGCCTAATAATTCTAAGAGCAGATATTCTTTAGGAAAAAATAAAATAACGGCTGTCTTAGGTTAGCAAACAGCCTTCTTGTTTTGGCTTAGTTGGGAAATGATCATTAGCTTGCTCCTCTTTCTTCTCACCAGGGATCTCAAAGCTCTTTAGAAACTTTATATCCCACACATCAGGTCTTTCTCTCTCCTCCTCTATCCCCATGTTGAGGATTGTAGCAGGAAAAATTTAGATTGAGTCTCAGGGAAAACTAGATTTTAAGGCCTTCAAATTGGTCAAATAGGTCAAACAGAAGAATTTCTCTCTCTAAAGATCCTTGAAAATAGGAGACACAGTGGATTTCATTATTTCCCTTCATTCTATCATCCAGCCAAAGTGACTTTCTGAACCGCTCCTCATTCACCATATTCCATCTCTGTACTTTTGTCCTCACTGTACCTCATGCCTAGAAAACACTCCTTCCTCACTTCTGTTGGCTAGGTGGCACGGTGGATAGAAAGTATCTGGAGCTCTACCCACTGAAGACTTGAGTTCAAATCCTGCCTCAGACATTTACTGTGTAACCCTGGGCACTGGCCCAAAGTCATTTACCCTCTGTTTCCTTCAGTTTCCTTATCTATAAAATGGGGATAATAAAACCTACCTCCAAGGGTTGTTGTGAAGATCAAATGAGATAATAATTGTAAAGTGCCTGGCATGTAGTAGGCGCCATATGAATGTTAGCTATTTTACATCCATCAATCTATCTTGACATGTTGCTGTTGTTTTGCTGTTTTTTTAGTCATTTCCAACTCTGTGACCCCTTTTGAGGTTCTCTTGGCAAAGATTCGGGAGTTGTTTGCCATTTCCTTCTCCAGCTCATTTTATGTTTATTTAAGTGACTTGCCCAGAGTCACACAGCTAGTAAGCATCTGAAACCAGATTTGAACTCAGGAAGATGAGTTTTACTGATTACAAGCCAAGTGTTCTATCCACTTTGCCATCTAGTTATCCCTAAACGTTCATTTCATTAGTGGACTGATACCATTCACAGGTAACACATTTGCATATTAATTAGCCTCTTACTCATCTTAAGACAAGAACATGGGTAGTAGAATGGAAAGGGCTATAGGCTAGGAATTAGGAAATCTGGGTTCGTGTCTTGGTTTTGCCACTGTGTAATTTTAGGCCATTCACTTTGCCTCTCTGAGACTGTTTCCTCATCTTCAAAATGAGGGGGTGGGTTGGTGGGGAGTTTGAACTAGGGGATCTTTAAGGTTTCTTTAAGAGCTAACAGTTTGCAATTCAGTAAGTAACAAGCATAGGAGCTCCTCTGTCTTGTTCTTTTGAATAGGCTGGTAGGGTCACAGCTTGGAGACTATAAGGGAGCACAGAGCAGGAGTTCTTAACTTTTTGTGTGTCATGGACCCCTTGGGCAGTCTGATGAAGCCCCTCGAGCCCTTCTCAGGATATTGTTATTAAGTGCATAAAATAAAATACATCGGATTACTAAGGAAACCTAAGATTAGTAAAAATAATCATGCGGTTATTTTCCTGTCCAGGTTCATGACATCACCCCCTGACATCGGCCCAGAGGTGTGCTGGAACCTTCTCGTTTGGCCTTGGAAGAGGTAATTGTTAAATTTATAGCACGAGTATTTACACTTTAGAAATCAGTTAGTGCTATGAAGACTTGGTTTATTGATTTGTTAATTGTCTAGGTTCAAGTAAGAAGTGGAGAAAATGTGAAAAGTGCAGATTTAACTTAAAAATGTGTCATGCAAAGCCTATGTCAGATTGTGTGCCGTCTTGGGGAGGGTGGGGGGAGGAAAAGGGAGAAAAATTTTCAACTCAAAAGCATATGGAAAAAAATCATAAAAAAAAAATTTAAAAAAGAAGGAAAAAAAATGTGTCATGCATACATTCCCCCCCCCCCCCAGAGTACTGGTTGTTAAACATTTATGCATTCATGGATTCTTTGGGGATCCATGGACTTCCCTACATTAGAGGTAATATAGTCCTATCTCCTCATTTTATTGATGAGAGATTTGAGTCTCAGAGTGATAATGATAAAAATATAGCTAACATTTATATGGTACTTACTATACTATAATACTATACTATAATATATAGTGCTTACTATGCTACAATATAAAAAGAACATCTCTAAAAAGACGTGAGCGGGGGGTGGAGCAAGTAGGGAGCGTGCCAGGCACTTTACAATTACTATGTCAGTTGATGTGCACAACAACCTTGAGAAACAGGTGCTAGTATTATCTCCATTTTACAGATGAGTAAACTGAGGCAAACAGGGGGCTTGATAGAGCTAGGAAATGTCGGAGACTGGATTTGAATTCAGGACTTCCTAACTCCAGGCCCAGAACTCTATCCACAGTGCCACCTACCTGTCCCCAAACTGCAATCAAGTGACTTGTCTATGATCAAACAGCTAGTAAGTATCACAGGCTAAATTTTAACCTAGATTTTCCTGATTTATTCTAGCAATCTGCCCATATGCAGATTATCATCAAGATGGGGGAAATAATAGTTTGCATAATTATTCAGATTTATAGGGCACTTTACAAAGTGTTTTCTTTGCAATTTGTGGGATAGGTGGGATAAGTATCATTATTGTCAATTTTCAGATGGGGAAACTGAGACACAGGTAGGTTAAGTGGCTTGTGTAAAGTTGTACAGCTTGTGAGTGGCAGAACCAGTCCTTCTGATTCTGATCCTTGTTAGTTCTACAATACCGGGCTGCCTCTAAATATCACAGATTACTGTTTTTGAAGAATACACCACAAAAATGTCCCTTGGTCAAGCTGAATTGAACAAAAGCGTTAGAACTCTGAACATTCTGTGGAGTTCCAGATCCTTTTTATTAGGTCCTAATTGTCCCTTTTGAGAATGTGGAGGGAGTCATATTGGAAGGGTCTATCCACTCTGCAGAGAGCATCCTTTCAAAAGCAGGTGTTGCCATGGCAACACACATGGCCACTTCTGAAAATCCAGCTCTGGCTAGTTTGAATGCAAATACTCTCCTTGCTTTGGGGTTACCAACCCAATGACCCTTCCAATCTTCTGTCAGGCTGTTTAGTGCCTCTGTTTCTGGGCCTCTGTTTTGAAAGGAGACCCAATTTAAGTAACGGGAGGATTAAGAAGATTAGAGGTTAAGATCAAGACCCCCGAGCCTCAGGCCAAGAGGAATAAATTCTGAGCCTCTTGTTCCTAAAGCCCAGTGATATCAGTGAAGAATTTGAATTTGAGCCTCAAGTGGCAATGTTTGAATTTAATATTATTAATAATAACAACTACAATAATAAGGGACATTTGGAGAGGCAGTGAGATAGTAGGATTTAGTGCTGCTCTCAGACCCAGGAAAACAAAATATCCATCCTACTTCTCAGGAAGTCTGGTTCACTGACCCAGGACAAGTCTCTCAAAACCTCAGTTGCCCTAGGCAACTCTCTAAGGCCCTATGCTTCCTACAGGAGTGAGTAGCTGATCTTATTCAGAAGAGAAAGCGTCCATACTGAGAGTTCTCCATACAAATGAAATCATAGATCCATATCCCTTTTCCCCACAAAACCCAAATCTCCAATTTTTTTTAAACCTAACTTACAGTGCTTTAAAATTTATGAAACACTTTAGATACAACAACTCCTTAGAACTTTGTGATCACCCTAAGAGGTAGGTACAGTGGGTTTATTATCTCCATTTTGCAATGTGAAAACTGACCAATTCAGAGACACCGATCTATTTATTCAGCGTCAGAGGAGAGATAAGCACAGGTCTTCCTCACTCCTATCACTATGTCAAGCTATCTTTTTAAAGTGAATAATGATCTTTATCAGTTGAGACTTTCTCATAATATACTGCATTGAACGAGTAGGAAACGTTATACAACAGCAGCATTATAGAGATATACAACTTTGAAAAGCTTTAGAATTCTGATCAGTATAATAATAAACCACAAGTTTAGGAGACAGAAGATGAAACACATCATTCATCTCCTGCCAGAGGGGCGAGAACCTAAAACGCAGAGAGAAACATATACTTTGTGGCGTGGCCAATTCAGGAATTTTCTTCACTAAACTATACTTGTTTGTGATGAGAGTTTTATCTTTCAACTGTTGTTGTTTAATTTGGTAGGGAGTTGGAGGGACAGATTTTAAATGCACAAAAAATTAATACATTTATTTTTCAAAAAAATAATGTAATGGGGGCAGCTAAATGGCACAGTGGGTAAAGCTTCAGCCTTGGAGTCAGGAGGACTTGAGTTCAAATTCAGCCTCAGATACTTGACCCTTACTAGCTATGTGACCCTGGGCAAGTCGCTTAACCCCGATTGCCTCACCAAAACAAAAACAAACAAACAAAATAATATAATGCATTGCTATTAATATGAAGACAATGTTCTATGGTAGAAAGGACAGAAGCAATGGGACTGCAGAGACCTGGGTTCTAGTTTCAACTCTTCTACTAACTAGCTAGGAGACTTTATAAAAGTCACTACCACATTGGGCCTCAGTTTTCTCATGTGTAAAAAAAGGAGGGGGGAATTGATCAGATGATTTCTATATTCCTTTCCCATTCTATGACTCTTTAGATAATGTGTTTTACTAAAATAGCAAGCAAAATTTATGGTTTGAAAAGCGCTTCAAAAATATTTAATTTTGTCCTCACAACTATTTGCTTACTAGACAATCTCCCAGGCTTCTTCTAGTTTTTTAAATCCTCTGACTCTAAGATTCCTCAAATTCCTTCTACTCAGACCCTAGGATTCCTTAATCCTGGCTAAAGCCAGACATAATGGTGCATGCCTGTAACCCCGGCTACCAGCGGAGGCTAAGGCTGCCTTGTCTAGGCTCAAGAAAGTGATGGAGAAAGTGTGAAAAGTGCAGATTTAACCTAAAAGTATGTCATGTGTCCATTTTCCCCCCAAAAAAGCTGGTTGTTGAGTTCAGAAGTTCAGCTACAGGGGCCTAAACTGTTTGGGTGTCCTCACTAAGTCTGATATCAATACGGCAAAACCCTGGGAGTAACAGATGAGGTACCGTTTTGCCTAAGGAGAGGCAAAATAGCATAGGTCAGAAACACAACGTAGGTTAAAGTTCCCTCCCTGATCAGTAGTGGGATAGGCTAGCAAAGAACCTCTCAACTTCATACCAATTTATATTAGATACTGGGGATGGTTGGGCCAAAAACAAAAATGGCTCCCTGCCCTGGATAACCAAACCACAATGTTACCTGGTGAGGTCTACTATCTACTCTTTGTGAACATATCAACCACTCAAGCAATAAGTATGTATTAAGTGCTCACTATGGCTTAGGTACTGTGCTCAATGCTGGGAATACAAAGAAAAAGTAAGAACAACCAGGGACTTTAAATAACTTGCTTCCTAATGGATGAAGACAACCTGTACATAGGAATTTACAAGATGTACACTTAGTAGTTATAAGATATCTATCCCTTTGGCAGGGAAGGCACTGGTAGTGGTGGTGGTGGGGGGACCGGGAAATACTTCCTGCAGATGTTTTTTTCAGTTGAATCTTGAAGGAAGCCAGCTATTCTAAGAAGCAGAGGGGAGGATAGAGAGCATTCCAGTCATGAGGGGACAGCCAGTGTAAAGGCATGGTAATGAGAAATGGAGTGTTGTATACAAGGAACAGCAAATAGGTCAATGTGGCTGGATTGTAAAGTATATAGAGTGGGTAATGCGTAAAAAAGTAGAGACTGGGGGCAGCCATGTGGCACAGTGGATAGAGCACCGGCCCTGGATTCAGGAGGACCTGAGTTCAAATCCAGCCTCAGACATGTAACACTTATTAGCTGTGTGACCCTGGGCAAGTCACTTAACCCCATTGCCTAGCCAAAAATAAATTTTAAAAAAAGTAAAAAAAAAAAAAAAGTAGAGACTGTGCATCCTAAACTTTAGCCTTCAACCTTTACCCTTTATTTGAGGCCAAATCATTTTAATAGTGAGCAAATATTCATTTGAATGGAAGCCCAAGAGCCCTTGCATCTCTTTAAGTTGACAATTCTCAAGAAATCCTTAAATTCTTTTTCTTGGATCCATCTGTTAGTAGAGGAAGATTTAGGCTCTTTAAATCCCTGGCAAAGCTTCAACTCACCTGGCTCCAAATAGTGGTGTCTATTCCCCAAGGAATAGGAACACTTGTAATTGCAAGGAGCAAAATGACAAGGTGAAAATGATGCTTCTGATTTTGGCTTCAGAAAACTCCAAATATGTATACAGAACAGGAGCTAGATCTGAGCCGTAACCTGGGGGAGCCTGGTTTTGAGTGGGATTTTTAGTTGTGTAGGGTTTTTGTTTTTTGTTTTGTTTTGTTTTGGGGCCAGACTTGCAATTTTATTAGTGTAAGAAACTCCTGGTGAGGAAATGCCTTTCACTGATCAACAGTTCTGCAATTTATAGTCTTCAGGAGTGTCTTAGAGCATTGAGAGATTGACTTTTCTAAGGTCACAGAGGTCTTGAACCTTGAATTTTTCTGACTCCAAGCCCAGGTGACATTATTAATAGATAGGAAACTAGACTTAGTAATAGGAAGAGCTGGGTTCAAATCCTGCCTTTGACACTAATTGGCTTTGTGCCTTTTGGAAAAATAG